GCCGCGCCCCGGGGGGTGCGAGGATCCTCCCCCAGCGCGGAGGGACCGCCCGGCCCCGCGTGCCCCGGTATGGCCGGACCCCGACCCCGCCAGCCGGACCCTGGGACTCCCGCGGGCAGCCCCGGGGCGCGGCAGGTGCCGCCCGGACCATGAGCGTAATGCTGTGGCGCTGGGAGCACAACAACAGCACCATGAAGCTGGTAAGAACCTCGGGAGCAACCCGGGACTGCCGCTGATTGAGGAAAAATTACCCTTGCACGGTTCTCATTAGCGAGCAGGGGTACCTGGGGTGGCGGGACTGATGCTGGACCGATGTACTCTCCAAGCGCGGATGCTCTTTTGCTATGGAATCGCAGCCGGATTTGTCACACATTAATTCATATTTTGGGCTTGTTTAGGTCATCTCTGTAGTTAAGCTCAAAACTAAGAGCCAAAGCATCAGTTCCGTGTGTAGCCTACTCCCCTCTTCTTCATTTATTTATTGTCTTTCTTCTTCTTGGAAACAATTTTCTCTTTCAGTTTTGCTGGAATAATTTTGTCGCCTGGAAGCATTTGGAGTTTTATTTGCTCTACAGTTTTTGTTTTTAAATTCCTTTTTCCCGCCCCCCCATCCCCTTTCCTTTCTTCTCCTTTCCTGAAAAGTAAAAAAAACGACTGCACCCTGTAAGTAAAATGTGTGTGGCTACTCCATTCCTGCAGCATAAATGAGCTCAGGAAACCCACATCTCTGCCTGTCTGCTTTAATTACTTTCCGTACCAAGATATAAACTCTGATCAAAACTTAGACTTCTCATCAGCAGCTCTTTTTTTTTAAAAAGCTATTTGATGTAAAGAATCTCAAGACAGTGGCTACCTAAGATAGCTTTAAATGTGTTTTCTCTGTTTCTCTGGCAGATTGTTTAAATTTTAAAAAAATACATTTTGATGCAGTTTTTAGAGGAAAGATTTATTTTCCTGAGAAAGTTATAATAAAGCCACAGGATTTGCTACAGGTCTAATCCTTTAGCCTTTATGTGTGAAAATTCTGTTGATGTCCACGTGGGACTTAAAGGTTTCCAGCACCTCTTCCTATCAGGCTCTGCAATCAAAGAAATTTATAGTGAGGCTGGTAATGTAACAATCTCTTTTTACATACTTTGCTCAAAAGGAATGAGGTGATAAACACGTGTTAGTGAGGGAGTATTCAGCCCTGGATACAACAGCAGCCATTCTAGTGGGATCAGATAGTTTCGGATATTTCACGCATGAGTAGCCCCTGGAATAATGAATTTGTGAACTGGCAGTGGAAGTTGGCGGCTCTGTGGGGGTTGCCCAAGCCTAGTTCCAGATGAAGCCAAGCATTTTGGGAGGGAGGTTAAAGTGAGTCCTTTCTCTCGCTTTTCATATGCAAAGAGCCCTTTAGGAAGGAGAAAGAGCTTATGTACACAGGTGTATTGCCAAGTTTTTGCATATACATTGGCCTTTAAACCCACCCCCAGTGGGCTGCGCAAGCAGCACCAGCACCTGTGGGAACTCAGCTATGAAATCGAGCAGAGAAAAGGAGATGTAAGAAATCAAAGAGTTGGTAGTGTCCAACAAAATCCAAATGATGCTCAGAGTGGAAGAAAACTACTGTATTTACCCACTCCTTGGGCCGGAGGAGAATAGCTAACATCCTTCACCCCATACCCTGCTCCTAACTCACATTCCCTGTCAAGCAGCAGACATTTATTGCTCCTGCAATTAGGGAATTACATGTTGCCCAGGGACTGCCTCCTGCCTGGTGTAGTTTGCTGAGTGCTGGAGCAGGGAGAGCCATGGGTGCTCCTCAGTCTCGGGGAAGCCTGGCAGGGTTCTGTATTGATAAAAACAGAATAAATAAATACATACATACAGAAAAATACCTTTCCCAGAGGCCTTGGCTGGTCTGTATTGATAAAGTGGATCAAAGACAGCTTTTATATGTGTGTGTGCGCGCGCATTTATATGTACATACATACACACACACATATATATAATGAACAAAAGAATCCTCACCTTAAGTGAATGTCAGAGTAAATACCTCAGACATTGCCCTTCTGCTTTCTCTCCTCCTCCTTCCTTTAGCTGAGTGAGGTTTCTGTGGAAAAAAGAATGAGAAAATGCTTGCCAGTCATTGTGTAGGGTGAGCCGAATATGGCTACTATGCCAACAAAAGCCAGATACATTCTGCTGAGAGTTTGGGTGGTGATGGCAAGAATTATACAGTGGTTGAAATGTTAAGATTCAGAGTGTGGAAGCTTAGGGTTTTTTTCAGATTTTGTAATGTAGGGCTGTGGCTGTTTCAGTTCGTAACCGGGCAGAAACACCAATTTGGTGTAGTGGTTTAGGTTCAGCAATTTAAGTTTCCTGGACAATGTGATGCCTGGAGAAGGCTGACCTAGAACAGAGGCTAGACAGAATAAGAATAAAGTAGGTATTTATTGAAAGACCGTAATGGACACACCTTGGGCAGTACAAGAGCCTGGCCAGGGCTACACCCAAGATGGACCTAAAAATGGTCACAAAAATGGACGACTGGTTGCAAGGTCTCTATATTTTTATAAGTTTTGGTCCATCTGCATATCAGGGTTAATTGTCCAATTACAGCTTCAGGTTATGAAGTCCCATCCTTCTTGTTTTCTCTCTTCAGTTGTTTATGCTTTTGGGCCTGAAACTTGTAACGATTTTCCTTGGTATCAAGCTAGAAAAGGAATTGTTTTGTCTACCTACTCTGTGAAGAGAGCTCACTAACACTTAATATGAAGTTCAAAACTACACACCTAGGCAGCACAGAATATGAAAAATACAAAAGCTAAAACTTAAGGCATCAAAGGCACCAAATAATGTGGTGGGCTTAGCATTGGCTAAAATCGCCAGTGCACCTACTAGAATTGTTTACACATTTCCTGCTGTGAGATATGAATTAGGAGAAAGGCAAAACCGGCTCAAAACTTAAAAGGTATAAAGGAAACTTTATTAACAGAACTAAAAGAATAATAAAAATCAGAATAAAACCTTTAGGACACTTCTCCTCCCCTCCCTACAACCTGTTTTCTTTCCCACTGACAAGGTAGAGACAAAACCTGGGATTTTCAATCAGTTACCACCTCTACAATGGTCTTTCATCAGTTTTTGTAGGGAGAGAAGTTTCTCACGTCATGCTATTGAGACTTCTCCACAGAAACAGTTCTCTTGTGGCTTCAATATCGCAGCGAATCTACCGCCCAGGAAAGGAAAATTAATGTTCATAATGCGATAGTTCCTCCTATGCCTTGCAGCTTCCCCAGAACTGCATTCATGGCCGCTCCTGGCCTCGGGGCCGCTCCCAGCCCCACAGAGCCTCGGGCCGGCATGGCCTGGCGGTGCCGCTGGAAAAAGGACTGGCGGGCTCCGCCGGGAAGGGGTCCCGTGGGAAGGGGTCCCGTGGGCTCCCCAGTGAGGGGCTCGGCAGCCCGCTCACCACCCCTCAGGGAGCAGAAAATCTCGGCCGGGCCACATGGGGCCGGCCCGGCCTGGCCACGCAGGCCGCGAGGGGCCGGTCCCACCGGCACCCAGTCACCTCTTCAAACGCTGGAAGCCAAGAGATTTCCTGGGCTTGCCCATCTTTAAAATGTCAGTCTCACAGAGGCACACCTCGCTTTTTTAATGGTTTAATAGGTTGTCACTTCTCAGAGCTAGCCAGCTATTGGTTTTTGCTCGGCACAAACCAAAGAGGAAGCTCTTAGCAGCCTCTCCCAGAAAAATAATTTCCGTGGGTGGCTTCTTCCCTCCTCACCAAATGTCAGTTAACTCAAAACCAGCAAAAGGGATTTTCAGGCAGCCAGGAATTACTGTCCACCTGCTGTCATCATGGATTCCCCAAAATATTAGATCCTGCAAGACTTAACTCAGATAAGTTTGTAAATATTGTGATGTTGCCATAAGGATGCAATGTGGAATAAGTATCTAACTCTTCTGAAACTTTGTCTTGTAACTCCTTTTCCATAATACTGTCCATGATTCATTTTGGGGTATGGTAGCCTAATTTTGGCCACACACCACTCACTATACAATCCATTCGGCTGTCAATCTTGAATTAGCTGAAGAATACAAGGTTGCTTTCATTGTGGACATGTTTCCTGGGCAGTCATGACAGGTTTCTTGCCAATCTATCTGAAGCATGTTGATGTTACTACTGGACATTCAGAGGAGTAGCCAGACAGTAACCAAGATAATTTTTTTTGCTGAATAGACTATGTCCACTTTCTAAAGTATTGCCTGCTCTTGGGAGAAGAAGAATGAATTGTGGAGCTTGCTCCTATTTGTGCTGAGTGACTTGTGCACAACTGATAAACAAAATTATTTTGACCACAAAGTTCCTTATTCCTGGGTTTCTAAAAACAAATGTTTAATTCTGATTTTATTTCCATTTAACATTTTAGACTAGCAATATTTCATCATAGAGTGTAACACCTCCCTCGATCTCTCTTTTTGTTTAACTGTTCTGAGTCAGCTTCACACCTTAATGCAAACAACTTTTTCTAATGTAATCAAAACAAGGATAGTTCCCATGGCTTTGAGAATTCACAAGGGTTAAGATACTGCTTTTGTGATGATTGAAGGCTGTAAAAAGCATGTGAACCTTTTACTGTATGCCAAGTTCAGATTGTCCTGTACATATCCTACAAGCCCCCAGCCTTCTAGCTTGTATATACAACGTATACAAATATGAGACTGTTGCAGCCTTTTACGAGGGTTTTCCTACTATTTTTTCAGTAGAAACATGTTAACTAGTTGTCAGTTTGTTACTAGCAGTAGATAACCCTTCCAGGGTGGGTTTTCTTTTGTGGTATGGTTGGTTTGTGTTAGGTTGGGTTTGTTTGTGGGATCTTTTTTTTGTGTTTGTTCATTTGGTTTTTTGAGCCCTTAAGAAAATAGTGAACGAAAACCCTATGTGTCTGACATGGTGTAATAAATGACCCCAGGATAAGCCTGTATTGATAGATTTGTTATTTTGACTGGAGTAAAGAAACTTGACTGAGGAGCCACACTAATGTCAGTAGAGGCTGTAGCATTTTCTTGTGAAATGTACGATAATGGCGTTTCCAAAAGAGGTTTCAGATGCACAAGTATTTGAGTTTTTTAGGATTTTATTTAATGTAGTTCATTTGTAACTTTTGTAGCTTTAGTCTTCTCTCGTTTGAGATCAGACTTACGGATTATACAGAGCTGGAGAAAACGGAAGGTTGCTCAGTTTCCCTTTATTCTTTCTGGTTTTAGTTTAGAAAATATGAATGGTACTTATTATTAAATAGATATTCTTTCATGATTTTTCTCTCCCCATAATTATTTTCTGCTTCAATTTTAAAATGTTTAATAACATGAGAGAAAAGAAACATGTATGTGTTTGCATGAACACTTCATGTGTGCTGTAATCTTTGAGCAGGACCAGATTCTCATTTCCATAGCCTGCAGACAGGCTCTGGGTGTGAGCCTATCTTAGTGTTCCCATCCTTGTCCTTGCTCCATAGGAGACCCTGAGATCCAAGGAGTGGGAAAATTGCTCCTGCTGAAGGTCAGGAGGTGCAGGAGGAGTTGGGCCATGTCCATATAGGGTGGGGAAAAAGGAATGACTCCTACTCTGTATCACCCCAAATGTGTGCCAGGTGTGAGTGGTACCAGCTGGGTCAATACCTGAGGTTTGCAAAGTTAACAGGCCCAAAGCTAGGTAAAACCATTTAAAAAAACAAGTTATTGCAAAAATTGGGGGGGGGAAATGTTATTCTTGTAAAATAGTGAGCTAATTCAAAATGTTCTCTGTGAAGAGAGCATTAAAAGGTTTATCTCTATGTATAAAATTTCAGTCCTGGTTTACACATGACTTCTCCTTCTACTAAACATTTCCCTTTAATGCTGTTATCTCTATGTGCCTTCTGGGCTGATGTGGAGCATACAGCAAAGGAAACACTTATTTGGAGGAAACACTTCATTCTGGAAGAGATTTTCAAGTGCTTAACTTAAAAACTGAGAGAGAAGAATTGACTGGGCTGATAAGAGATTTGCACAGTTATGATTTGATAGGCCTATTTTTGCTAGCTGACTTAGCAATACTTTTCATTAAGTAAGGGAAAGAATTCCTGCAGTTCCCTAAGCTTTTGCCATCTCAATTAGTGCTTATAAGCAGTTTATTGTAACTGTCATAGTACTGTCTTGCAGTTGACTTGACTGGGTGTTGAAATTGGATCACAGCTTGTTACCCAGGTTTTCCAAGCCAAAATGTGGAACTTCAGCCAGTTGTTAGATGTCTTGATCGAAGGCTTAGTTGATGTCACTCTGCAAAGATTAAAATAAATAGCAAAGCATAATTCAGTGTTTCATAGGTTAGGATATGTCTGAAAAACGCTGTTGCATGTAATCATACATTCTCCACACTTCTATTTAATCATATAGCTAAGAAAATATTCTTTTGACACAGAAACTTACTGTCTGTGAGCAGACAGTGTGTTGAAAGAGCACACACATATTTTTTTCTGAGGATCAGTCAGGAGAGGACAGCATAACTGAACTGCTGCGTCTTAAGACTGTGCAAAAGGCAGATCTGTTCCTGACAGGTGTCTGGAAAGGTGCAGTCAGCAGAGATAAGGAGGTGTGAAAGCAGTGAAACTACCAGGAGGCCGGAAAACCTCACCCAGAATCTTATACCTAATTGTGGTGTCAATTACGAAAGATTGGTGTAAAGGAGAAAAGGGATGTTGGGTTGACCAAGAGAAGGAAAAATCTGTTTTCTTGGCACTTCTAACCAGAAAGAAAAAGGACTATGCGAGTGTATGAGTATTCTCTGTAAAGACATCAAAATATACATCAGGTGCTTATAATCATCACAGCAGGGACTAAAACAGGTTCTCTTTCAAAGAGGGAAGCCTCAACACACCTTCTTGGAGAGACTTGGATCATTTATGACAGCACTTGTAATTAAATTACCAGATACAGGTACTGTGTGTATTCATAGGTTTGCCAGGGACAACCCAACACAGTGTGTGTTTTTCTGTACAATATATAGATATTTAAATATTATCAAAATCTAAATATCTAAAATTGTATTAGTTACTTGTTTTAAGGAATCAATGTTGTTACAAGACTTTAAGTAAGTAGAAAATAATCACATGAAAATGATTTAATGTGTGTATTCAGATGTTTATACCTCAAGAGAAATAAAAACCACTTTATAAATGCTTTGTTACAAACTATACATGTCATATTTCAGTGCACGTAACATAACGTCCTAATACAAGGAGTTTCATAAATTGAAAACTAAAAATGTAGGTGGATGCTGTATTATGCTTGGTTTAGGCTTTCTGAAATATTCCAGATTAATCTGTTTTTCTGTCTCAGTTAAAAATTCAGGCGTAGAGGTTTGAGGCTCATTTAATTTTGTTCTGTGATTATGGCAATAAACAGTCTGGAAAGGGATTTGAGGTAGGTGATCCTTCAAAAAGCATTCCTCTTCTGTTACAGGATGCATTTTGGGATTGCAGCTTGATTTTAGTTTATTTACTTCTTTCCCTCTTAGGACACTGAGGAAAGATTAAAAATTCCATACACTTTTCTAAAAGCCTTACTATTTCTTTTAGTCCCAGTTGTATTTGGTTTTGTGCTAGGTCTTGCTCTGTTTGTGGAGCACAGAGGCATAGATGCAGATGGTATTTAATAGATGTGAGATAGAGAGTTGATTGTTTTAATCAATGTCAGACTTTACTGTTACAGTGTACTGATTAATGTAACAATTTCACCGTTTCCATTAATAAAAAGTCTGAAAACCACTTGGCTTGCATTCTCTCATTCTTGGTGGAAAGATGCCCCTGAATTCTCCTTCAGCCTCATCTGCTCTGACTCACCGACTTTTCATGTGCTTTTGGGGGGTTGTTGCCAGCAGGTCTGCTGGCTGCTCTGCTTCTCCTCAGCATTCTGGGCAAAGAACATCTTACTAGGAAGTTTGAATAAACCTATTTCTAAGAGTTTTCTTTCACAAGACTTTCTCCTAATTTCCCAGGTAATTTTCTGTATCATTTCTGGTCTGAATTCTTCCTGAACACAGGTGGCAAGAACCAGGACAGAATACAAGATAGCCTTACCAGAGCATTGTACATTGCAGAAAAGTTTTAATATGTCTTTAATTTAAAATTTTTGCATGTGAATAAGCATTAAGTCTCTCATACAACCAGTACTTGCCTTCTTTTATTAGCAGGTAGTTCATGATTAGAGCTATCGTGGTGAGTTTGTGACTGTTCAGATGTTTCCTGTGTTACCTTTCTGTCTGAGAAATCATAGTGGATCTGCTTTTTTATTTTGAAATGAAAAACATTTCTTATATATTATCTGCACAGTTACTAATTTTATTATAATGATCCTAATCTTGTTGTCTAAGAATCATGACCCTACAGAACTTTTATCAAGGTGAGCACTGTTAAAGTGAAGAAGAGAGGATGATTTTGGTGTGCAGGGGTTTAACAAGGCTTCTGAACTAAGCAATAATTGTATATCTTTTTTTATCAGTATCTTTTGCAATGAAGAGCTAGAGAGCTTATGGAGCACTCCTGAGTATCCAGTTTCAAGTAGTCATATGATGTCAATGTTCTGGCGTCTCACCCTTGTGCCCACGCTGGGATGTGATAATGATCACCTGTGAAACAGTTGGGTATTGTAGGGCAAGCTGATTTTCTCTTCTCTGCTCTGCATTCAGAGATTTGTTATATGGGCTGTTTCCTTTTTGTAAAGAAATCCTTGGAGGTTTTTTTTTTAATGATCAAAATGCAGGTAAATAATCAGGGATCAGAATTCTACACCAGTGGATTCAGTACTGGGCATGTGAAAAGACCAGCACTTTCAAAGGCTTACCTGACTGTGGGTTGGTTTTTGCAGAGGCTTCCAAAACCATGCAGGTGCTCCTTTCTTCTCTTGTGCTACATGCCTTAGTATTCAGAAGGTAGAAATATTTGTTGTTCGATTTTAGTTTAAGACATAGCAGTGGAAAATTTACATTAGGAGAGGGTCCACAGTACAGAATACTGAGATTTATGAGGATGAGATGTCTGTGGGGAACAAGTAGTTTGTTCTGGCCTTCTGTAGAAACATTTTTATGACTAAATATGGATTTGGGATGCAAATTTGTGCCCTTTTGAAAAACTTTAATTTAAATTTTGAGTAGATTGCCTAGATTGATTTACTGAGATCACAACCAAATTGTGTGAGGTGTTGCTGAAACTTAAAGTGGCAGCTGTTGTTCTGGAGGTGTATAGTATAAACATGTCTAAGAATTATTGCCTAAATAAAACAAGGAGTGGGAGGGGTGACAGGCATATAGAAAAGTAATGAGATATACTCAGT